TCCCTCCTTCCCGCGCGGACCCTGCCCCGGGCCTCGCTGGTCCCAGCGGCCCCCCGGCCTCCGCGCCCGCCTCGCCCCCGCGGAGACCTGTCTCACCCCGTCTGTACGTGCGGACGCAAAGCTTCCTAACGCTGAACGGCTCCGAACCCAAAAGTGAATAAAGTGCGGTAACCGGGCGAGAGCCTCCTTCCTTCGCTCTCTCCTCCGCGCCTCTCCCGCCACCTGGGCCAGCAGGGAGGGCCTCTGACCGCCTCGAGACATCAGAGCCTGTGGCTCTACGACGGCAGATAAACCCGGGAGACCTGAGGCAGGCGGTGCCCGTGCCGCTGGGCTGGAGGAAGGGCAGGGCAGGCGGGGCACCCAGGGTAGGGGTCCCAGGAGAGGGGCAGCTGCTGCAGAAGCCCCACGGCGGGCACACAGCTCTGCTCAAGGCTTTGCAAGGCGGCAGGGTGCCCACGCGGTGGCCCAGGGAGCGAGCCGGGGTGTGCAGGCCAGGCTGGCGCAGCCTTCCTTTGCCTTCAGCCCGGCCAGGCTCCTCCCACTTTCCCCGGGTCACGACCTTCAGCCTCCCGAGGCTCCTGCCTCAGGGCCTTTTCACAGGCTGTTGTGTCCGCCCTGGGCCCTCTCCCCCGACTCATGCACTTCCTTCAGGTCTTTACCCAAGAGTCACCTTCTCAGCGAGGCCTTCCCTTGTCATTTTATATAAAACGTCAGCACCCTGCCCAACTTCTCATGTCCTGCGTTATTCCCCCTCCCACATGTCACTATTAAAGGACGTCCTGGTTTATTTATTGTGGCAGCAGCTTCTAAAATCGCCCCCAGCTATCCCACCCTTTATTTTTTTTCATTTTATTTTTATTTTTTATTTTATTTTTTAATCTTCTTCACCCAAGGATATTTTTCCTTTGCTTTTCAGAGAGAGTGGACGGGTTAGAGAGGGAGAGAGAGAGACATCGATGTGAGAGAGACACATCGACTGGTTGTCTCATGCACGAGCCCCGACTGGAGCTGGGGTCGACCTGCAACCGAGGTACGTGCCCTTGGCTGGAATCGAACCCGGGACCCTCAGTCCTCAGGCCGATGCTCTCACCACTGAGCCACACCGGCCAGGGCTCCTCATCCTCTGTTCCCGCCTTTGTGGATCCCTCCCCCGAGTGTGGGCTGCGTTGAGCAACATGCTTCTGAAAACCAACAGAATGTGGCAGAAGGGAGGGGCAGTCACTGCTTTCTCCTCTTGAATTGCTCCCCCTGACCAAAGGCAGCCCTGTGGGAGACACCCATAGGACAAAGGACCAAGACCTGCCAACAAGCAGTGAGGGACAGGGCACAGCCCCTTCCCAGCTGAGCCTCGCTGGGCCAACAGTTTGACTGCATTCGGCCTCACGGGGCGTCTGGTGCCAGGAAGCCCAGGTCACCGGGCCAGCTCCTCATTTCCCGGGACCCCAAGCACCAGACCCAGACTCCTGACCCCAGAAACTGGGAGATAACATACGCTTGTTGCTTGAAGCTGCCAAGTTTTGGGGTAATTTGTGTTTCATCAGTAGAAGACTAACACACTTATTTGTCCTGTGTATTGCCTGGTTCTGTGCCCTCCACGCTTACACCCCCCAGAGGGATGGGGCAGGAGCAGGGGGCTCCCATCCCCATACAAGCGGAGCCCGGATCGGAGAAGGTGTACTCAGGGCTGGGCTGCCCCTGGCCCTCCAGCTGTTCTGGGTACAAGGCAGCCAGGCCCTTGGGACCTAGACGGGGAGACACAGTGGGGAGAGGGCTTCTTGAGAAGAGGACACCTGCCCACCTGGGTGGCATCGAAGTTGGCCTGGATGGGGACCTGGGCCTGGCCTGGGGACACCCTGAACAGGACAAAGATGGAGCATGGCAGAGGACGGTTCTGGCAACTGCACAGGCCCTTGGGCTCTGGAGCAGGGCCCTTATGTCCAGGAGATGCCCTGGGGCAGCTGGCCTGCGGCCTGAACAGACCCACCGAGAGAGGTTCAAGGTGGGATTTCGCCCGGCAGCAAGTGCCCCATCTCTAGTGTTTCCTCCTGGGGAGGTGGCCTGATGCCCTGAGGCAGGGGAAGGTGCTGTCCTGTCCTGTCCTCTGGGGTGTTGGCACCCAGCCTTCAGCTCAGGCATAGCCCCCAGTTCCCCTCCTCCAAGAAGCCCTCCCAGAAGCTCTCCCTCACCTCTGAACCTCACAACCCTTAGTGCCTCTGCAGGGCCTGACTGAGGTCTGCCCAGCTGGGGCCTGGTGGGCAGGCTGCAGTGGTCCTGCACATTGTGAGCAAGGGAGGCCCAGGACAGGGGCTTGAACATGGCCACCCCAGCCAGGAGCCTGGGGGTAGCAAGAGGTGAGGGGCAGGGCTGGGTGGGAGACCACACCCCCGGAGGGGTTAGATTTGGTGCCAGGGGCCTGCAAATAGGCAGGGCTGTGTGCTCTCGAGGCCCAGGTCAGAGGCCAGGGGATGTGGGTGCTCAGGTAGCCAGAGGAGATGTGAGGGTGGCTGGTCTCCAGCCCACTTGGTCAGTCTGTCCCTGAGGGGGTGGGGGTGGGGCAGCCACCTTCTTCCTGGTCCCTGGAAAACCTTATCGCTGCCCAATCCCAGTGTGCTAATCCTGCCTTTGAAACTGCCCCGACCGACCCTGGGCCTGGGCCTTGGGTCAGGTTGCAGCTGGAGAGCGTGTCCCCTTCGCTGTCCTGACTTCTGATGCCTACCTCCCCTACCCCACCTGTCCTCCAGGATGCCCTGCAGAACAGAGAGGGGTGGAGAGACTGAGGTCCAGAGTGAGGGGGGTGGTGAGTGGAGGTGGTCAGGACCCCAGGGAGTCTGCCAGAGCAGGCCTGGGGCGGTGACGGATGACCGACTACAGGACAGACAGACAGGAGCCAGTCTGCTGACTTCTGGACTTTATTCTCAGAGGCAGCAGAAAGCCGAGGGGCAGCAGTGGTGGCCAGCGGAGCCAGGACTAGGGTCTCAGGGACCTTGGATGAGAGCGGAGCAGGGCAGGATGGCCAGGTCCTCAGAGCTGGGGCCGAGAGCAGGACCTGCAGGTGGAGCAGGCAACACGGCCCCTCGCTGTCCCGGGCTCTGCAGACTGCCCAGGGGTCCAGGCAGCAGCAGAGTGGACGCCCGACCCACCCAGGACCTCGCCCCTGACATTTCTCAGCAAAGGGCACCGGCTTCCTCTGACCTCCCCACCAGCTCCCGTCCCAGCCTCCAGCTCCTCCTACCCAGCAGCCTCGCTGGACCCCAAGTGGACCGGCCCCTCTCTGCCTGGGACCTCCCCTGCCCAGCCGGATGGGGACCGCTGGGTGAGGCCAGCTCACAGCCCACTCACCTACTGGTGCTCCTCCAGGCACTTATCTGCCAAGAAAGAAGCAGGGGAGGGGGAATGGTCAGCACTCTGGGTCAGGGCCACTTCCCCCACCTGGCAGCCTGTTTCCCCCCCCTGCAGCCCTGGGGAGTTGGTTGATCCCCAAAACTACTACTCCATCACTCCCACCCCTCCCCCAGACCCTGCTCCTACAGACAGAAGGGGTTCTGTCCCCACCTGTCTCAGAGCAGGTTTCCTGACCCCCCAAGGCCACGGTGCTGAGGCCTCGGGGAGCCCTTGTCAGAGCCCCAATGTGCTGCTGCCTGCGTGCCCACGTTCTCATGGGCGCCTTCTTCACCCAGGCTCCATTTCTAGTGCCTGCCCCCACTAGGCTGGGGACCCCTGTATCCTGGGGGCTGACCCGGGACCTGGCACACACATTGGGTGCCTGGTGAGTCCGGGGAGGGGGGTTTCCTAGAGAAGGAGGATCTTCCCTGCCCCCCCCCACTCAGAGGCTGCGGGCCAAGGTCCTGGGGTGAGGACCGACTGCCCCGCTCTGGAGGCCATGTTGCTGCTCAGTGGGCGGCCTGGCCAGATGAACTCCGACCCTCAGCCTCCCCTGAACCAGGAGACTGCCTGCCTCTAGCCGGACCTTAACCCCTTCCCAGCGGATTGGCGGCCCCTCACCGGGTTTTGGCAGGAAGGCGATGCTGTCCTCTGTGAAGCCCTGGGCCTTGGCGAAGGTGATGA